TGTATAGGCGCCCCAGCGTCCCGCAGGTTGGGCAGCTGAGGCGTCTGTTCATTGAGCTCTTCGGCCGACCGACCAACTTGCGTGTGTACATTGAGGTCCTCTCGCGCCCGTTCGCGCACATCGGCGGCGCGCCGAGGGGGAAGCGAGACGGGGCAGGCCTTCTCAGACGGCGGCGGGGCTTCTCAGAAACCTCGCGCCTTCGAGAAACCGTCGCTGTCTTTTGGAGAAGGCTGAAACACGTGTACAAAAGACCTGAGGCCGTCAGAGATAGTCCGCCCCCTCTGCCTTTCCCCCTGGGCTCGCCGCTGGGCACATGCATCCCCGTTCGGCCGTTTCCAAGAGGCGGGCCCCACGACTGGGAGAACTGCGTGTACGCGCACACGTGCCGCGACCTCCGGCGGTCACCAGAGATCGGCTCCTCGCCAGAGGGGGGGGAGGGAGGATGAGGAAGCAGCAGCAGGAGGAGTGCGGAGAGTTCCCCCGTGGTTTATCGTCTGGGGCGCTCCCATGGCCATTTTGGGAGGGCGAGGTCCCTCGGCGCGACCGGGCGGCCAGCATTCCGCCTGCTGGGGTCCGCCAAAGTCCGTGCTGGACGCCTTGTCGTTCCCCTGTACGCGCGTTCGGCCGGTTGGACACGCGGCCGCAAGGGGGAGGGTGTAGGGCCCTGTCCATGGAAGGCGGATCGACCCGTGGATGATGGAGGCGGTGCTCTTCTTGTCCAGGCAATGGTGCTGGTGAATCTGGCCTGAGCAGTGGTTCGCTGTCTCTCGGGTCTCTCGGGGTGGTCGGCGAGGGTCGGGCCGCACGAAAGGGCAGGATAGGGCAGGATAGGGAAAGTTACAATATTTGCTGCACGCCGCTGGTTTCCGCCCCGCCGTCAGGCCCATTCCTCGACACATGGGCGCCGCCTGGCGCCAGGAAGCGACAGGAAAACCAGCTAAGTGAGCTGGTTCCCTACCCCGCCCTCTGCTATCCTTCAGGAGGGAAGCAAAAACACACAAGCACAATTTATCGTAGATCCCCAGGCAAATATAGGAAAGTATGGGAAGTGGGGGGGGAAGACAAAGCTCCAAACAAGAGATATATGAACATATGGGGAATCCTGTTACGTGTGTGTATTTATTTGTGTGTCCCAGGGCCCCTTCAATCTTACTCCTTCGTCCCCCCCGAGAGGGGGGAGGGGGGCCGAGGGCGCGGCAGGAGACCGTCACCGCCTGGGCTCTCCACGCCTTGGCCCCCACCACAGAGCTCCACGGAGACGCCAACGACCGAGCGCGGGCCATGGGCCTGCCGGAGCCTCGCTCCAATCAGTGAGGGGCGAGCTGGGGTAAGATCTTATTTGAGATACTTCCATGTGGTTATCGCTGCTGGCACTGACAGAGCTGGAAGCGGGCCGGGCCTTGGGTCATATAGCCAAACGTGCCCCTCGCACGCGTTTCAAAAGATGGCCTCAGTGATGAGTTGCACGTAGGGGCCCACCGCAAACTGTACAACCAGTCAACTACCATTGAGCCTGGCCCACTCGTCTACTGACATCCAGGAGCTCAGGAAAAGTCAATGCGAGGCAGTAGATGCACGCGCGGGGCCCGGGCGCTGCTGCTCTTGCTGGGTTCGGTGAAGGCGCTGCTCCTGCCACACCGCAAGGCAGCCTGGACGCAGGCTCTGCGCACAGCTGAATGTCGTTTGTTATTTAATTGTGTGTAATTTCCAGCTTTAGAAAATTCGGAATTCATGTTTTTTTTGTAAGTTGTGAATTGTTATTGTTATATGTGGATCTTGATCTTGTTTTTGGACTGCCAGAGAGATGGGAACGCGCACTGAGAGGTACGGGGCCCCGTTGCGATCTTCTAGTGCGGTTCGACCTTCGTCGCCAGGCGGCTCTCTAAACACCGACGCTGGGCCTCAGACGACCTCGTCCCCTCTCTACCCCCAGTGTGTCTGTGTGTGTTGTCGGTGGGTCTTTGTCGCGGCAAGGCAGTGCCTCGGATGCGTGAAACTCTTGCACGAGTGCAATGAGACGTCAGATGCACTGCTAACTTGAGGTGTTCGTGACCTGGCAAAAAACGGATATTCGCAGTGTTCGCGATCTTCCCCGACCCCGATTGCCACATCGCAATCCGAGTGTATCGCCGCACATATTGTGCCTGTGGATCTTCCTACTTGTTTGGTGCATTGGCCATTCTGGAACGTCTCTATGCGCGAGACGCTCGCGGACCAGATGAATTCTTCTTGACGCTTTGTCTATCTTCACTCGCCCATCCCGAAAAAACGAGTTGGCGTTATCGGGGTGTGTAGCAGCGCGCTTCCCTAAGTCAAGCATGGATGGCTTTGCCGATGCTTCGCTCTGGGAACCTCTTGGAGAGCCCTTGGCACCATCTTGGAGCTCCCTTGGGGCCCTTCGGCAGCCCCAAAGAGGCTTCTCTCATTCGTCAGACGACCCCAGGCCAGAGCATTTATAGCCAGTTGTTTTTCTGTAGGTTGGCACATGCAGAGATACATTTCATTGCATGCAGTCGCTCCACCGCGGATGCCCGTGCAAGAGGGGGGCATAGCGGTATGCGCGAGGAGGAACATATCTTCCGCATCTTGTTCATGGAATGACGACCGTCTTTTTTCCATCAATCAGGGAGGGGTGTGGCTGCCGTAACATACAACATACACCCTTTTTACCGAGGACGCCTGCGTCATTCTGGTGACTGATGTCCCCAAGCGGAGTTCTCAACTGTTTCGACGGCTGCGGAGAACTTGCCGGTTGGGGGATCAGACCCGGCATTGATGTCTTCGCCCTCAGCAGAATACTCTGCCGGGTTATGTGTCCGATGGTCTTTGGGTAATCTCTTGATCGTCTCTTGCTCCCCCGCCGGCTAGGTGATGTCGACCTATGCTGCACGGTCCCCTGAACCGCTCGTCGCCGTCCTTGCTCTCGTCATCGTCGCCTTCGTCGTCGCCCTCGTCGTCGTGGACCTGGCGCCAGGCTACTCCTCGTGGCCCTGCCAGAGCTGGGCCGAGAGCGTGGCGAGCGGCTCCCCAGAGGCAGCACGCTCCCGCTGCGAGCGAGGGCGTCCCTCCGCTGCGCGCGCTCGCGCGTTGGCCCGCCGGCGCCTCTCGTCGTCCTCGTCCGTCGCTTGTCGTTCAGTGTCCACTGTTCGCCGTTCAGTGTTTGTCGTTCAGTCGAGCAGTGGCGAAGCGTCCTGGCTCGCCCATAGTCCCACCAAATAATGTTCTAAGAACCTTTTGTGGTTTCCACGAAATGTTCTTAGAACAATTCTGACCGATATTGTTTTGTTTTAACACGTCGGGTTTATGTTATAAGAACATTATTTTTTGTGTTTAGAGCTTAGAGCATTTCTGGGTCCTAAGAACATTCCGTTCCGTCGTAGGCCTATAGGAATGCCGGGACGGTCGGTCCCTGCTCAATTCAGCGGGCCGCCGTCTCTGTCGTCAGTCGTCGACCGGCAGGGGGTGGATGAGGGCTGTCGATCTCTGTCCTTGCCCCTCCCTACCAGCGCGCTACCTCTTCTACTGCAATCTACAGTCTGTCCGCTCCCCCCCGCGGTGAAGGTCACTGGGTGGGGAGGGGGGGGGCAGGGCAGCGTCGCGGTACAATCTTCACGCCCGCAGCATCGAGCATCGAGGAGGGCCAAAACAAGCCCAACAGTGCACGCCCCCGTCGGAGTCCCCTCCTCATCAGGCCCTGCAGGCCGTTCCTTTGCAAGAAACACCTCGTTGACGTATGAGCCATGATCCTGGCATTCAGGCGAGAGCCCCGTTCTAACAGGGAGGTGCCTCGCATACTTTCAGCGCGTAGTCAGGGATGTATGATTACACAGTTCAGCGTCTTTCCAGCGAGATCCCCGTTTTGACAAATCACGCCCCCATCCGTGTAAATGTTGCACGGGCGTGCACTTGTGGTCGTGTAGCGTTGAGGAGGTCTCATTCGAGAGTCCCCTTTTGAACAAGTGCTGCCCTACATCCGCGCAGCTACTGCATCTGTTGAAGTTTCTTTCAGTTTCAGGAAGTTTCAAGGGAGATCCTCATTTCGAAATGGGGGTGCGACAGGGAGGACGTATCTTGAAGTAAAGGGATGTATTTGCTTGCCGTTGCATTGCTCCCATTATGAACCCTCCTCATAAGGAATCTCCTGGAAATGACCCTGGCAGACCTCGAGGAAGTCACTTGACATCCTATCGCCATCCATCGCCCTCCCGAGCGTGCGAAGGGGGCTCCACGACGCACTCCGAGAGGGCAGCGCCCGAACACCACTGTCGCTGGCACTGCACATCGCTCGTGAGTGGTCCAGTCACCGCCCGACTGCCGCCGCGAAGACAACTGAGAATGGCGTTGCACCGTGTGCTCCTTTGCCGGCTCGCCTATCACATGCAGAACGACACACGAACCAAGCGCCAAAGGACGCGAGCACCCATCATGTTGATCTGGGGCGCCGCACCCCGTGCGAGAATGGGCCGCGGGGCTCCGGGAACCGTCGGAGGTCTGACGAGTGGTGCGCCGATCGTTCGGCCGGCCCTCAGGGAGCGCAACTTCACGGAGAGCAGCAGGCCCACGACTGAGAACATCTAAGATGTTCTCAGTCGTGGGCTTCTACCAACGCTACGCCACTCATTTTTGCCTGAAATCGTTTATTTGCAAATCCAAGACTCATCAACGAGGTTGGAGTACAGCCTCCCTCCAAGCTCCCCCGTCATAGGCCCCGTACAATGATGCATTTCTACTGGGGGAAGTGCCTCGCTGGGAGGCAACAGTGTGAAAATATTGATGCGTGCCAGAAGTACATTCTCAGGACTTCAACGCCACGAGTCAACCTCATTGTTGCGTTTTGCAAACACTGGATCGTGCCAGAACTCCTGGGACCTCAATACCCCGAGTCAACGTAGCTGGTGCGCCCTGACAATCCTGAATCGCTCGATGTGAAATATTATTGTGTTTTCCTCCTTCCCGTTCGGCGTGCACGTTCCGTTGCTAATAATTGTGCTCAAGCTCTCATGACCTGGCTGGCCGAGCCGATCCCCACACTTCTCGCGGCCGCGCGGGATTTGACCACGCTCGGTCTCCACGTGGGGACCGCCTCTCTGGCCTCGAGTTGCCCTCCCTGTCCGACGTGCCCAAGCTTGACTTGTGCGACAAGCACCGGGCCGACTTGTCCAGCGGCGCACTGCGAGTGCAACTGCCCGGCGCCCGAGCCTGTCAGGTACCTCATCCTCGTCGGGGCGTTCGTGACTCTGGTCTCTGGCGCCGCGGGGCTGCTGGTCGGGCTCGCCGTTGGCAGTGGAGTATCGCTCATACGGCCACGACGTCCGGCTCCCACCACCCACGCGTCATCATCCACGCCAGCAGCGTCGGTGATCACAGTCTTGACCGACAGCTCGGGGCCTGTCACGCCGGCTTCGCGCCGGAATGCCCTCGCTTGATGTCAAGGAGACGCAGGTCCTCGTCCATTATCCAGAGGACGAGAACGGGCTTGTGTGGCACCATCGCGTTCTTCTGTATCGTGTTGCTGGGGGCCGATCGGTATGCCTCACGCCCGACCTGGGCATGCAGATTCATGATTTCAACGTGCAGCGGCATCGCATCATCGGTCGGAGGGAGGCTTTCCCGCCCGACCTTGCGGCCCGCTGCTATGTCTTCGACGACGACGGCGTTGGCCGGGCGCAGCTCGACGAGCTCAAGCGCCAGGCCCGAGTGCAGGCTGCCATCCTCGGCGACGTGGAGTTCGAGGACGCCGAGGAAGTCAAGTGGCTGGTGTATGAGGCGGGGAACGACCATTTTGGCAAGGAGGTCCCCGTCGAGGTGTTGGAGGATGACCAGAGGTTCGTTTCCCTGGGCACGCTCGGGGTGGTCGACTGGCTGGGCGAGAAAAGGTTAGCGGAGGGAGTGGCGGCCGACAACGTCGACGAGTGGAGGCAGAAGCGCGAGGAGACCGAGAGCGACTCGAGGATCCTCGGCATCCATCGCAAGCATGGGAAGCGGAACCTCGCGCTGCATGACGCGGTGCAGCTGTTCACTGAGGACAGCTTTGAGGACTGGCCGTTCCCTCCGCCGCGAGCATCCCTGGAGTACCTCGAGTCGATCCGCGATGGGCCTGGCTCGATGGTCGTTTACGAGAGCGAGTGGAGGCAGGACAGCGGCGTCGGCGACGGCACCGCGGCCCTCCACGAGCACAGGAACAACGCGGAGGTGCTCAGGCTGGCCCACCAGGTGGATCAGCTCAATATCCCGAACCTGGCGTGCTTCGAGCAGTTGGTTCGGCGCCAGGTCCAGATCGAGATGGCTGTGGAGCGGAATGCGAAGCACCCTGACTACGGAGGTCTAGACCTGGTGCTCGGCGGGCCGACGACGGAGAGTGGCGCTGCTTCCAGCCAGACCTTCCGCGACTGGGTCTACAAGAAGCAGGGCGAGCGCGCCCAGACGCTCAAGCAGGCCCGGCTCTTGCGAGAGGAGCGAACTCAGGAGGAGAAGCGAGCTCGCGGTGGCAAAGGTGATGGTGATGACTCGAGAGGCCCGAGGAAGCCGAAAGGCCCCAAGCAGGGGGGCGACGGCAAGGGCGACAAGTCAGGCGGAGCGGGGGGCTAACCACAGTGGTTGGTCCCCTTCAGGCTGGGTTGGTCGTGCTCCATGGCCGACCCCGCCGCCAGTTTTGACCACGGAGGTGCTGCCGTCCGACGGCGACTCCGTGCACAGCGGCGCCACGGGGAGCTCTTTCCTCTCCCAGCGCCATCCTCTTCTCTGCCCGCTTCTCCCGGCGCTCCTCGATACGTTCGGCAGCGACGGCTTGAACAGCGGCATCGGCATCGGCGAGAGTGTGAAGCGGTTAGATATCTTAACCAGCTCGCCGCCGCAACCACTTCTTTCTCGAGCGTCTCAAGTACGAGGAGATACGGAGGGGAGAGAGCCACGCCCTTGCAATGCGATGTCCTTCAGCACGTTGCACGGCGCGTCAAGGCGCACGGCCCCCCCCCCCTCGAGACCTGGACGAGAGTCGAGCCCTCTCGGAGCTCACGGCGTCCAGGGACCTGTACTCGCAGGAGCCGAAGAATCTCGCCGAGTACGACATCGACAAGCTCAAGATTTGCCGCTCGGGGACCGTGGCCAAGGACGCAAAGTCGCTCTTGCCGCCCGACGCGGCCGGCCTCATCCGACACTACGCCCGCTGCATCGAGAGGGACTCGGAGCAGATACTGGAGTTGCAGGCTGCGCGTGATTTCCCGCGGCCATACTGGGATCCCACGCTTGCTCGGGATCAGGATGGGCTTCTCTTTCTCGTCGATCGGCTTCGGCAGGCGAACCTCATCAGCTTCCGCCGCAAGCTCAAGGCCAAGATCGGGATCTTCTTCGTCAAGAAAAAGGACCCCGCTTGGATCATGCTCATCATCGACGCCAGGCAGGCCAACCGGTGCCATCGGGCACCACCCAAGACAAAGCTGGTGTCCGTCGGCGGGTTTTGCGAGCTCGACCTTTCGGACTCCGCCCTTCGTGACCTCGGCGGCTTCGGGCCCGTGGCCGAGGTCTGGGGCGGCACCAGCGACGTCGACGACTGCTTCTACCAGATGCTGGTCGAGGAGCTCGGGTCGTGGTTCGGGATCGACATGCCTAGGACCGCGGGCGAGTGGGGCGTCTCCAGCGTCTACGACGACGACGTCGGGAGGCACGTCCCCATCGACTCGACCGCCACCCTCTACCCCGTCTTCCACGGTATGGCGATGGGGTGGTCCTGGGCGCTGCACCTGGCCAACGAGGCCGTCTCCTTCCTGGCCAGCAAGAGCGCGGTCTGCCCGCGGTCGCTCGTGCGCGAGCGCACGCCCGCCCCGGCCCTCCGGGTCGGACAGGCGGTCTCTGGCGTCTACGTGGACAACTTCACGACCATCGCCGGGGACAGGCTCGGCGCCGAGGACTCGATCGAGCGGTTCAGGCGCGCGGCGGCGGAGGCGGGGATCGGCACGCACGTCGACGGCGACGTCGGGGTGGTCTTCGAGAGCCTCGGGGTCGTCTTCGATGGCCGACAGCGCTGTCTGCGGCATCTGCCTCGTCGAGTGTGGCGCGTCTACTTGGCCACGCGGGCCTTGCGGCGGCGCCGCTGGGTCCACGGGAACATCCTGGATCTGGATGGGCCGCGTGTCAACCTGTTCGGGCTGCTGCGTCCAGGGCTGTCTTGCTTTCAGCAGGTCTACCCGTTCGTGGCCAACGCTCGAGGGCGACGAGTTCGCCTCACTGACGCCGTCAAGAACGAGATGCGTCTGGTCCAGGGCCTGTTGTTCCTCTGCGAGTACGACCTGGGCGCGGATTTCAGCCGCGAGGTCTACTGCTCGGACTCGTCGGACATCGGCTTCGCGCTGCTCTCTACCAGGGCGACGGAGGCTGAGCTGCGGGAGCTTACCCGCTACCGCGAGAGATGGAGGTTCAAGCTGGTGGAGACCCTCTCTGAGGTCGCCCTGGTCAGGCCCGAGTGGGCCGAGTACGTTGGAGGCCGCTTGCGGCCTGGAGGTGGAGCTGATCTGCCCGAGGGTGCCTACGCTGACGTTGCCGCGCGAGGGTCTCGACCCCATTGGCCCGCGGACGCAGTATGGGCGCCTCCTGGACGAGGAGCGCCACCACCGCCTGGCCGACAAGGCCGAACGAGTCGGGCGACGGACCCGAGAGCCCCGCCCCCGACCACGGCATGAGGAGGTCGAGGTGCCCAGCGCCATCCCGCCAGTCGACCAGTGCTGGGACACGCCGCGCCGCTGGGCCCATCTGCGGGTCGGGCGCTGGAAGTGGACCAAGGAGCGCATCAACATCAAGGAGGGTCGTGCTTCCTTGTTTGGTTCGCGGAGAGCGACCCGCACTCGCCACAACCACGGCAAGCGGGTCGCGTCGCTGGGCGACAACCTCGTGTCCATCTGTGCTTTCGAGAAGGGCCGCGCGAAGTCGTGGGCTCTCAATTCGCTGGCGAGACGGGCGGCTGGATATCAGATCGCCGCTCGGGTTCGCTGGCACTCTCGGCACATCGAGAGCAAGCGGAACGCTGCAGACGCCGGCTCGCGCCTGCACCAGTCTGGAGGGTCGGCCGATCGGTCGTCACATCATGTCGAGCCTCGTCCAGAGCGAGATCCAGAGTCGTGTTCACATGGCTCGGCAGACCCTCCAGCTGCGACACCAGTCAAGCCACTCGGGGGTAGAGGACCCCTCCGAGCTGCTGCCCCGGGCAAGGAGACCGTGGCGCGCTAGCTCTTTGCTGGCGAGGCTGGCCTCACCTGGGCCCTTCGATCCCGCGGTCTGCGGGTCGGGCCACCCTGCCAACTGCTGCGAGGCGCGAAGTTCGACCTCACCAGAAAAAGCATTCAGAACCTCATCAAGTCCTGGATCCTTGCGGGCCTCGTTTGGCATATCCATCTGGGGACCCCGTGCACGGCCTGGTCTATTGCAAGAAGGGGAGTGGTTGATCTGGGAAAAGCTCACGCCCAGGAAGCTATCGCTGTGGAGCTGGCCCTCTTCACGGCCGAGGTGTGCACGTTGGCCTCCCGATGCGGGGTCCTCTGGAGTCTGGAGAACGCTGCGGCATCGGGGCTTTGGGAGTTCGGGCCCGTCGTGGACCTCATGTGGCTTCCAGAGGTCTTCAAGGTCACCTTCCACATGTGCCAGCATGAGGTCTCCCACAAGAAGCCCACCACTATCCTTACCAACATGTTGGCCCTGCGCGGGCTCGAGGCGAAGTGTCAGGGGGGTCATGTTCATCGTATTCTTGAGGGTCAAGAGCGAGTCTTGGGAGTTGATGGAGTCTGGCGAACACAATGCAAAACAAAGGCAGCAGGGACATACCCGCCGGCTTTGTGCTCAAAGTGGGCCTCTCTCATTTTTGCTATCGCACCATCTTCAGCACTTGGGTCTCAGCCATCCTTCGTGGACAAGTGGGATGGAGCTCTTACGGCACTTGTCGGACAACGGAGGTCCCACACCCACCGCGGATCGGCTAAGAGGGCGGACGACGCCGACTCTAAAGACCTGCAGCGTGCTGAAGAGTACATCGTCGAGAATCGACTGCGCTTCGGGCGTCATCCTCCGGCCTGGGCCACGTCGCCAGAAGGCACAACGGAGGAAGGTGGTAGCCGCTAGGTCCTCGGCCCCCGCGGAGCGGTTCTTGCAGGAGAGCACCGCGGGCGAGAAGTCCAAGGACATCTACCGACGTGAGCTCGCTCGCTTTTTCAGTTGGGCCGAAGAGCGTGGCCTCTCGACCAAGCCCGACGAGCTCGCGATCACCATGAAGCAGTACTTCTACGTTAAGTTTCAGGAAGGGTATGGGCCTGGCTTGGGCCGCTCCGTCTTCTTCGGGTACCTTTTGCTGCACTTCGCGAACTACATGCTCGAGAGGGACCGGCTCAGCGACGTCGAGAGGGCGCTCGCTGGCTGGGCCAAGCGGGCCCGCGAGACCGTGAAGGATCCCGCTCCCCAGGAGGTGCTGCTGGACATGGCTGTCTGGATGCTCGACCGCGGGCGGGGTGAGAGCGCCTCGTGCATGGCCCTGCAGCTGGGCGACTACGCCAGGCCCTCTGAGAGTGTCGATCTCGTGCTGGGCAACGTGCTGAAGCCGGTCGTCGGTGTTCGCGGGGCGCCGTCCCGCGACTGGGGCATCGTCTTTGCCCCGGCGGAGCTCGGCTTTGTCACCATGACCGGGCAGGTCGACGACTCAGTGGTGTTGGGCAGTCCCTCTCGCCTGTGGGCACCACAGGTGGCAGAGGCTCTCGCGACACGCGCCGCCGCTGGCACGCGTCGCTCGAGGGGGCCAGTCCTACGACACGTCTGTTCGACTCACTTACCCTTGCTCACTACGAGCGGGACTTCAGAGACGCCGCCAAGGCGCTCGGATACGAGAAGCTCAACATCACACCGCACACCGTGCGGCACACAGCCCCCTCGCACGATATCTACCACAAGCACCGGACCTTGGAGCAGGTGCGACGCCGCGGCCGCTGGGCCGCCAAGAAGAGCGTCACTCGCTACGAGCGCCATGCCAAACTCTTGAAGCAGCACAGCAAACTGACAACCGTGCAGATCGCCAGGATGAACAGGTCAGTCCGTCAGTTCCCAGCTGCTGTACTCAAATACATTCGTGGTTGTTGAATGCTGTTCATTTTTGCCCACCCGTGCCCACCCTCTTTCTTTTGTATTCGTGACTACGTCCCAGAGTTCCCATATATGGGCAAAGATTTGGGAGTGCTCCGATCGGAGAGAGTTTCTTCAGCGCATCGCATAACGATTTCTTTGGACGGATTCGTTGCATCACACAGGTGACCATCGCAAGTGAAACTGATATATCTGAGGCCTTCGGCCGTTGTGATATCTGAGGCCTCTCGGCCGCCTTCCCTGGTGTAGGTTGTGGGTGGGCTCCTGGAGGCTCTGGGCACGCACTAAGGGTTCAGAGGAATGTGAAATATTATTGTGTTTTCCTCCTTCCCGTTGGCGTGCACGTTCCGTTGCTAATAATTGTGCTCAAGCTCTCCCACCCACGAGCCACCCTGCTTGAGGGGAGTGCTCCGATCGGAGAGAGTTTCTTCAGCGCATCGCATAACGATTTCTTTGGACTGATTCGTTGCATCACACAGGTGATCATCGCAAGTGAACATGATATATCTGAGGCCCTCGGCCGTTGTGATATCTGAGGCCTCTCGGCCGCCTTCCCTGGTGTAGGTTGTGGGTAGGCTACTGGAGGCTCTGGGCACGCACTAAGGGTTCAGAGGAAAAACCGTTTCTGGAAGGTGTACCGTGAGAATCCGCGAAGCCTTTGTATACCAAACAACAACAACGAAGGTACACGGCGCTAAAGGAGAGTCACATATTGAACAGGAATTGCCTTTAACCCGTGGAACTCTTGAATTGTTTTTGAAGCGCATGTGTGCGGCGCTAAGGCGAGAGCCACATTTTGAAAACGAGCCGCACTCGACCCGTGAAACTCTTGCACATGTTTAACACGAGTGCGCGCGGCGCTAAGGCGAGAGGCACATTTTGAAACATAGCCGCCCTCAATCAGTGAATCTGCTGCAATGGTTTAAGACGAGCGTGCACAGTGCTAAGGCGAGAGCCACACGTTGAACACCACACACCCTCAATCCTCGAAGCTCTTGCAAGCTCTTGAAATGAATGTGCGCGCCGCTAAGGCGAGAGCTAAACTTGGGAAGCGGCACGCCCTCCATGTGCGAAACTGTTGCCACCTTCGACGCTTCATTCTCATACTAGGTAAGGAAGTCTTAAGCGACACGCAAGGCTCGCCCTTCCGACTGGCCTCGGGGTGCGACAACCAGGAATTAGCCATAAGGAAAATAATGGAAAGGATCGGACAGGACAGGACAGGAAAGGAAAGGAAAGGACGGGGGGATGAGAGGATGTCGAGGAGGAGAAGGAGGAAGAATATGGAGGAGGAGGTGGGAAGGGGGAGGGATGGAGGAGGAGTTTTAGTCTATACGTACACATATATATATATATATGTATTAGTATATTTCTGGGCCTGTGTGTGAGGCGTTCGTCGCCACGGCTGGGTAGGTTGGAATCCTGGCCAGCATGTGCGCCAGCCAGCAGAGGTCGCGGGGCCGATTTTGCTGGCGACTGGCTGGTCAGATCTCGGGGTCGGCCCAGAGATGGGTGATGACCAGGAGGGATGGCTAGCATGGCTGGGGCCATGATATCTTCCCCGACTTTGCGGCTACTCTTCTTATTGCGACACGTCCCCTGCCCCCCCCCGTCCGCGCACATGCCTCGGGCCATGATTTGCGATCTCCCCTCTTGGACGCCCCCCTCGTGGACGCCCCCGAAGTTCGAGAGGAGACGCCCGTCCCCCAGTCCCACCATGTCCGTCCAGGCGGGGTGCGCCAGGGATGGCAGTGTGTTGTTCCACCCTTGGTTCCGTAGAATCTCGCCTGGAGTGGTCCCTGGGCGGCGGGACTGGAGGTTGGGGGGGCCTCAGGTCGCGCCGCATGGCTGATGTTTCGGGGATGCGTTGCGACCTCAACCCGACGTTGCCGATGCATCGGGGATGCGGCGCGGTACTGAGGGCCCACTTTCTCCAGCCCCGCCTTAGGAGGCCCCCCCAGGCCCCGAGGAGGCCGAGGTCGACGAGGACATGGGGACCTTCTTCCGCCGCCTGAAGGCTGGGGAGCTCGTCTACCTCTGCGACGTGTCCATCTCAGGGGCAACGCTGGGGGGGATAGGCTCGGGGGGGGGCTCGATCTTTCCCCCCCCTGAGCCAGTCCTCTCATCTCAGACATGCCATGTCTGGATGTTTTTTACTACGGGGTCCCTGGACCCTGATCTTCCAAAGAGCTATTTTTCAGCACTGGAGGCCTAAAAACCGAAAAAGCTGAGCGAAACAGTCTAAAACCAAGACGTAGAATAGCTTTGGGATAGGTTTTAAAGTCGGGTGTTTTTTTTGGCCCTCCTGGAAGGTCAGGGGAAGTCTCGACTCTTTCCCCAGGGCCGGTTGTTCACCCCAAGCAGTTGTTTCCGGGCTCGGGGCCCGGCGCAAGCGCCCTGGAGGCCGACATCGGCCAGACAAGTTAGAGGTGATCTTGCCACGGCGCGAGCACGTTCCGATCTCTTCCATCCGCGGCCCCGGGGATCCCCACCGCTTCCCCGAGGCTAGTTTTTCGTCCCCTGACATTCCAGAGAGAGTTATTTTTTAGCACTGGAGACCAACAAACCTGAAAAACGGAGCGAAACAGCCCAAAACCAAGACGTAGAATAGCTTTGGGATAGGTTTTTAAGTCGTGTGCTATTTTTGTTAGCCCTCCTGGAAGGTCAGGGTCTCGCATCCCCGGGGGGTCCCGGAAAGACGGGCCCCGGAGGGCCGAAGTAGACGAGGCGCTTCCGCAGCCATGCTGTCGGAGATCTGAGCCCGTTGCCCCTCGCCGTCGGCCTCCACTGCCCCTGGCTGTTCCGCCACGTGCGGGTGCCCCGTTACTTCTCGGGGGCGGCCAGGAGGGGGGTGACGACGACAGGGGGGGCGGGTGGACATCATGCCCCGGGCCATGGTATTTCCTCGGATTCCATGGCGCCCCCTCTTGCTTCATGACGTCTCTGGCCCCCCCCCTCCCTTGGGCTGCACACGCGCCGCCGGCCACGCTTTGCGCCACCCCCTCTTGGACGCCCCCCTCTTCCGGAGGGGGTGTTCCAGGATGGGACCCCCAGGGGCTTCGCACCCCCTGCTTCGACGAGGCTCCGAGGCCCCTGGGGGGGGCTCTCTGGAGAACACCCCCTCCCCCAAAAAGCCCTCTCTGGAGCCCTCCGGCTCCTGGCCGCCCCCGATGCCTCCTGCACTGCCTGGGCCACCGCAGCGCGCGGCGCAACCCCGCCGCGGAGCACACGCCCTCCCTGCTGGTCGGCGCGCCAGGGACGGGCACGAGCCTGCACAGCTCGGGGTGGGCCGAGGGAGCCCCGGCCCCCCGGCCGCCCGGGCGGGGCCTCGATAGGTCCTGGCGCCTCGATTTGTCGGAGGTTGATCGACCTCCTGCCCTGACACGTCGATTGCTGAATTGGCCCTTTTCGGTTCGCGAGGGGGCGTCGCGGCCGTTATGTTTGCGGGTCCAGGTCCGTCGGTTCCGGTCCTGGGCCGTTTTGCACTAAAGGGTGGTTTACGAAAGGGAGGTTTGTCCACCGCCTCGATTCGTGATGTTCCAACCTGCTCTAGCCTTGACCGCCAGAAAGAGTTTCGGGCACCAGAGAAGTGCCCGAACTCGATGGTTTTCACGTGTCGGGCCCTGGGAACCTCTCGTCCGACACCGTTTCGACACTCTTTCGACAGTCTGTCGCACTAAGCAGAGGTCCAGAGCCAGACCCCCCCCTCCCCCTCCCCCTTCCGCCCAGTGTCGAGACGCCGAAGAAGAGGGTTATGATGTTCCAACCTACTTTAGCCTTGATCGCCAGAAAAAAATTCGAGCACCAAAAAAGTACCAGAACTCGATGATTTTCACGTGTCATTAAGTGGCGCAGCGAGTTTGGCGCGAATTGATAATGAGGGGCGCTCAATAATGGAGCGTTCCCAAAAAGGGCCTTGCTCTGAAGGATCGAAGGAGGTGCCATCTCTTCCTCGGCGGAAGGGCGGCGGAAGTAAAACGAGGCTGCCTCCGCCGGCGGAAGCTGGCGGAAGTACAAAGCTGCCCTCCAAGAGATGACAACATGTTTGAGTTCAGGGTTTCTGCGACCCGCCAAATTCGGGTGGAAGAAACGTGCCCTTTTCGGACCCTTCAGGCTCCCCCTTGGGCAAGAGGGCCCCTTCAGAGGCCCTAAAGGGCCCCCCTTTTTTGCAGCCCTCGCTGCAGACAAGACAGGCACGATAGGGTCCAGGCAAGATAGGGTCCAGGGCTCTGGCCGCGATGTTTCGCTATATGTTTGTCCTCGCTGTGTCGGATCTCAGGGGCTGTTGCCAGGGGTGCTCTTGGCCCTGGCCCAAGGAGGCCCTGCGGCCCCCACGGAACCCAAACAAGGCCCAGAGGGCCCCAGGGGCTCCAACACGGCGCGAGAGTGTGGGGACCGCTTGGTCCAGGACCACCCCTACAGTCAAGACGCTGAAGCAAGGAACAAGTTGGGTTCAGAAAAGGCTCAAAATGTTCCTCAGGTCCTTCCGTGGCTGTTTATGTAGCCCTCCTCGTGCATGCAGGCGCTTGTGGGGCCAAACAGCGGCTTCGTTCCTTATTGATCGCTCCTTATTTCATCATCTCAACTGTAGCAACACACGGCCAGATGGGGCCAGAGCGGGTGGGGTAGGGGGCTGAAAGCCCAGGCCGCCCATATGAGGCCCGAGCAGAGCCAGAAGCCCTGGCGTCGTGAAACACGATGGGAAATTTTGAATTTGTTCGGGCTTCTGGGGGCCATCTCAGAGCCTCAGGACCGTCAAACAACGATTCAGGATGAAAAGCCGGCCCCGGGGACTGGGTCGAGACCTCTTGGGGCCCATGTTGCGAAGGAATCACGGCGTGGGGATCTGGGGATGGGACGGAGGCTTCCGAGGGCCCTGCGAGGGCCTTCTGCGAGGGCCTTCTGCGAGGGCCTTCTGCGAGGCTTTGGAAAGTCTCCGAGGAGGAAGTCGCACGGCGCCCTACATCTCGTAAGCTGACATGCGGAGCCGCGCCAGGGATTTGGCATCACCATGTGCGAAGCGAGCGGAGGAAGGCAGCCGCAGCGGGCCCCTAAAACAAGAGTAGCTTGGCTGCACTGTGGTACCCATTGGGAGGCCTCCAGAGGGGATGCTGCTAGTCTCCCTCGGCGCTATAATGATCGTCTCTTTATTCCTTGTTTTGCCGATCGGCGCGGGCCCTCGCCCCCCCCCTCCCCCCCCCATGGAGTGGATCTAGGCTGTTTTTTGCGCCTGCTTCGAGCAGATGCAGCCTCTCCCCCATAGGACGCACCGTCCCAAACTGTCGCACTAAGCAGAGGTCCGGAGCCAAACCCCCCCCTCCCCCTACCCCATCCGCCCAGCGTCGAGACGCCGAATAAGAAAACGCTCACTTACTCGAGTCGGCCTCAGGGTTATGATGTTCCAACCTACTTTCGCCTCGATCACCAGAAAGAATTTCGAGCACCAAAAAAGTACCGGAACTCGAGGGTCTTCACGTGTCGGGCCCTGGGAGACACTCGTCCGACACTGTTTCGACACTTTTTCGACACTTTTCCGGGTGCTCGAGTTTGTTTTTGGGATGTGGTCCTCAAGCACGATGGGAGCAGCATAACCCGAGGGATTTGCATTACTGTTCGGGTCGAATTCGACCTAATGGAGGATGACGATTAATAAATGACCGGAGGTCGTGTTCACGCGGCGGCGCCCGGGATGACGATTAGAAAAAACCGGCCGCGGGCTGGAACACTATCTTTTTAATCGTTCCCCTCCAGTCAGAAACTTGTGCAGAAATAGCAGAAAACTATTTTTTTAATAGTTCCCTCCCATTTTTCCCTACCTAGGCTCTGCCTAGAAGGGTTCTTACTCTCTTAGCTTAAAGGGGCCGGGCAGTGCAAAGCGCCCCGGGCGGTTCCCCCAGTCCCCTGGGAGCGGTTCCCCCCAGTCCCCTGGGAGCTGTAGCTTTAGCTTTAGCTTTAGCTTAGCTTTAGCTTAGCTTTAGCTTAGCTGTAGCTTAGCTTTAGCTTAGCGTTTCGCTTAGCGTTTCGCTTAGCGTTTAGCTTAGCTTCAGCTTAGCTTTAGCTTAGCTTTAGCTTAGCTGTAGCTTAGCTGTAACTTAGATTTAGCTTAGCTTTAGCTTAGCTTTAGCTGAGCTTTAGCTTAGCTTTAGCTTAGCTTTAGCTTAGCTGTAGCTTAGCTTTAGCTTAGCTTTAGCTCAGCTTTAGCTCAACTTTGGCTTAGCTTTAGCTTAGCTTTAGCTTAGCTTCAGCTTAGCTTTAGCTTAGCTTTAGCTTAGCTGTGGCTTAGCTTTAGCTTAGCTTCAGCTTAGCTTTAGCTTAGATTTAGCTTAGCGTTACTGTTACTACTAATGCTGGTTTCCTAGAGGTTCCAACTCCTAGGTAGGGTCGCACTGGGATAATGTTATTCATCGTCATCCCGCATTACAGGAGCCTTACGATCGGGAGTGCCACGGAGCGTAGCAATCCGCGCCTCTGGCCCTCACCGCGCCTCCGCGCGACGCGCCCACCGCGCCTCCCGGTTCCCGGGCGTCCACGCCCCGAGCCGTTCCCCACCCCCTGCCTCTCCCGCCCTCTGCGAGGCGGAGCGACACGCTGTGCGCTTGCAGCGTGTACACGTTGCGTAGTGCGCCCGCGCCGGCGTTTCGCCTGCGTCTTGGCATCGCTCGGACGTGTGCATTTTTTCCTCGGCGAGGACCATCGAGGAGCATCCTTGATCATTTGGCGAAGAATCCACGCACGAAACCGAAAAGAGCACAGGGAATGGACGTCCGAGCGATGGCGAGGCGTGTGGCTCCTCTTTCGCGTGCTGTGCGTTTCCGTGCCGTCTGCGCTCCGCGGGCGTGTCGCGGACGTCTCTGCTCCCGCGCGCTGTACACGTGCCGCCTGCTTCCTGAGCAGGGGAGGGGCGAACTCGTGCGCTCCAGCCGAGTCTGGCCTTCCAGGGACGCGGGGGGGGGGGAGAGACCTGCTGCGTGCAGCTTGCCCTGGGCGCCCCGCCGCCCAGCGACCCCCCACCGATGTGCGGCTGCTCGCGCCAGGCGCCTCGAGGAGGCTCCGCAGAGCAGCGCTGCGAACATGGGCGCTGGCGGAAACCTCGGCCGATCTCGACCAGGTCGGGCCACCGCCGACTCCTCGCCCCCAGCCCCCGAGTTCCCCCATCCCAGTCACAGAGCCGCGCAGACGAGAAGGGGAGCTCGGGGATGCACCTCCGAGGGGCTCTCCGCGACCGGCGCCATCGAGGCAGCACGCCCCTCCACCCGCTGTTCCCGAGCTGGGCCCCGCACCGTTTGCTCTCGGGCTCCCCGCTGCGAGCCACGCCGACGTCGAGCACCGGCCCCCGCGCGCGCGCAGGTAGCCGATTCGCTCCTCCTCCTCCTCCTCCTCCTCCTCCTCCTCCTCCTCCTCCTCCTCCTCCTCCTCCCCTCCCTCTCCTCCTCCTCCTCCTCCTCCTCCTCCTCCTCCTCCTCCTCCTCCTCCTCCTCCTCCTCGTCCTCCTCCTCCTCCTCCTCCTCCTCCCCTCCTCCTCCTCCTCCTCCTCCTCCTCCCTCTCTTCCTCCTCCTCCTCCTCCCTCTCCTCCCTCTCCTCCCTCCTCCTCCCTCCTCCTGATCCCTCCTCCCATGCACTCGGCGTCGCCACTGGATGCACATGCCCCTGCTGGCCTGGGCGAGAGCTGGATACGCACGTGGCCGCACACGTACGGCAGAGGGAAACACTTACTGAACACTCCCCCTCCCCCCCAAACTGAAGCTGGCACGCGCGGGGGAGACTGCTGTCGAGGTGCAGCTCATCAGGCCCACCGCCAGCGTTGAACATTGGGTGGAGAAGGAGGCGTTGACAGATGAGTGTGGCATGAGTCTTCGCTGTTTTTTTTCTCCGAGGCCTGTATCCTTCCAGCCCTCGGCTTTCCAGCCCTCGGCCCTCGTGTGGCCAGGCACGGTGATCCTCCACACGTGCATCCAGCAAGTGGCCCCCCGCCGTTCCGCCTGTGAATCCAGCCGCGTATGTCTCCAGCTTCCTGGTGCTCACGGCGCGGGGCCTCGGAGGTCTCGCCCCCGCGCTCCCTGGGCCGCTTCTTGCCCGCCGCGGGCCGCCTCTCGGGATGGCGGCGGGGCCCTCAGGATCGTTTGACCGACCCCCATCCCCATCCTCATCCCCCTCGAGACCCCCACCGAATTACCACCCTAGTTTGGGGATACGCCCCTCGAAGCCCGAAGGGAACGGCCTATATCCCCAATCTAGGGGGGTAAATCGGCCAGTGGGGCCCAGGCCACGCCGCTGGGGATGGGGGTCGGATAAACGATGCTCAGGCCCGAGAGCGGCCCCCCCCGGCGCCTGGAGTTAAGCCGGGCACGTCCCTCTACAGGAGGACAATCCAGAAAAAGTCAAATCAAAAGTCTGCTGCTCCTCCTCCTCCTCCTCCTCCTCCTCCTCCTCCTCCTCCTCCTCCTCCTTGGGGACGATGTTTCAACTATTTGTTTGATTTGTTTGGGATATTTTCATTTTTCGCCTAAAAATCTGCGTGTAGGGGGACATGCCCGACCAGAGACTGGAGTCGAGAGGAAGAGGACCGCGCCCGACCGTAGAGAGCACGACGTCGGGGTGCTGGTCCCCCCCCCTGGCGCCCACCCCGAACCTCGACCAGTATTGCTCGCACGGCTGGATGTTCTTGGCGGAGGGGCGCAAGCGGTGGACCGTGTTCCACCCGGAGGACCGGGGGCATCCGCGAAGTGGGATACCGTCCTGTAATTAAGTAGCCCTTGTTGCACCACTAGGCGTGTCGGTGGAACGGGCCGCGCGCTTCGCCGAAAGATGTCCCTGAAATGTATCGTCCTGAAGGTTCATGCTTCCGGCAGCTGCAGGGGTGGAGGGCGGGTCCTTTTCACAATTTGGTTCTCGCCTTCGAGCCGTACGCATATGTTATAACGTTTCCAAAGGGCTACACAGTTGGATACGTGCCGATGCACCCATCTATGTTTTTTAGCGTGGGCCCCAGGCAGTGATGTGATGCGTAAGCTGTGATGCAAGCTATGTGGTTTAAGCTATGTGGTGCAAGCTATGTGTTGTTGGCGATATGGTGTAAGCTTTTGTGTTGTAGGCGATATGGTATAGGTTAACACATGTTTCTTCTAGCATGAGAAAACCACTATTTCCACTGGGTTCCGTTATATGTGTACGAGAATCTCGTAGACCCAGTGTGCTCATCCTCGGGATCCAGTGTTTTGGCGTGGAAGCGTCTTGGATTCCATGTATCCCTGGCATGCGAAGAGATGAATCAATACCATGGACCTACGGAGCCGTGGATCTGCAGACCAATGTTATGATTCTATGGGGGAGGGAGGTCCCTTACCCAGCGAAGGAGGGCGAAGAAGAAGGCGAATAAGAAGACGCGGATGATTCGGAGGACGAGGACGAGAACGGGGATAGTGAGGGTCAGGGCACGGATGGGGGAGAAGGCGCATGCGAAGGCCCAAGAGGAAGTCTCCCGGTTTGCGTAAGAACGTTGTGCCAGCTGTGTCGCGCAAGTTGTGTGGTGCGAGTTGTGAGGCTCAAGCTGGGCGGTGCAAGCTGCGCTGTGCAAGCTCTGTGGTGAAAGCGATGTGGAGTGAGCTGTGCGGTGGAGGCCACGCGGTGCAAGCCATGCTGTGCGCTCTGTGTGGTGCAAGCTATTTCGTCGCTCAGCGCACGAGGCGCCCACGGGCGGCCACCGACGGGCCACCAGGCGAACCCCTGGCACACCCGGCCAATTCTTGAGTGGCAGACGTAAGAATCTTTAGTGCCAGCATTGCCTGGAGAGCACGTGCACACATATAGGCGCATATAGTTCTTTTCGGCGGGTACATATATATATATATACACACACATATGGGGAGCCCCCTCCCCGGCACCCATTCTAACCAGCATTGGTGCTCTTCCGTTCCTCCTCCTCCTCGTCGTTCTCTCTTTAGCTCTCTCTCTCTTTCTCATTTTCTCTCTCTCTCTCTCTCTCTCTGTCTCTGTCTCTCTCTCTCTCTCTATGTTTCTCTCGCTGTTTCTCTTTGTCTCTCCATCTTTCACGATCACTCTCTCACGTTATTGATTCCTTGATTTCATGTTTCTCAGTCTCTCTCTCTCTCTCTCTGTATGTAAATATCTATACATACCCGCGACACCCAACCATCCTTGCGAGCACACAGAGCTTGCGACGTCGGGGGTGCAGAAAACCTTCGTTTTCATTCGGATGTTTTCCTGCATGGGAAGTGAGGAAGCTATTCTTTGTTCATGTGAAGTGTTTGTATGTTTGGGATTCTCCTCCCAAGCAAAAAAATCAAACCTAGGAGCCTTCCCAGGAGCTCCGATCCCCAGAATCCCCCAACTCACCCACATCCAAATAAAAAAAAACAAATGATTTCCCCATTTCTCATTCCAGAAATCCAGAACATCCGAAGGAAAGCAGGGGGTTTGTGAAACCAGGGGTGCGGAAGCCTTGTGTTTCATTTGGATGCTTGGGATTTCTGGGATGAGAAGTGAGGAAGCCATGTGCTCTGCATTTGGACGTGATACTTGATGTTTGGGATGTCCCTCCCTCCAGCGAAAAATCCAACCCAGGAGCCCTCCCAGGAGCTCTGGTCCCCAGAACCCACGGCATCCCCACTTCCGACCCCAGAAGTCCCACCCATCGGAAAGAAAACACAAGGTTTCAGAACCATTGGCACCACAACACCCGTGTTTTCATTCAGTTTTGTAGGATTTCTGGGATCATTATTGAGGAAGCCAACATGTCGTCATGTTGTGGTTTGGGGATTTGGGTGATTCTGGGGGTCGGGGCTCCTGGGAGTGGTTCGGAGTTGGATCTTTAATGGAGGGAAGGACATCCCCAACATCCGAACACTCAAACTGAAAACGCATGGTTTGTTCATGTCTCATGCCAGCAATCCCAAACACCCACATGAAAACGCAGGGTTGCAGCACCCCTGGCGTCGCACACATGGCGTTTCCCCAGGGCTTGTGTTGGGTGTCTGGGGGGAAAGGGAGGGAGAGAGAGAGAGAGAGAGATAGAAAGAGAGAGAGAGAGAGATAGGGAGAGAGAGAGAGAGAGAGAGAGAGAGAAAGAGAGAGCGACAGAGAGAGAGAGAGAAACAAAAAGAGAGAAGGAGAGCGAGAGAGAGAGAGAAGTAGAGAGAGATAGAGCAAGGGAGATAGAGAGAGAGAGGCAGAGAGAGAGAGAGAGACAGAGAGAGAGAGAGAGAGAGACAGAGAGAGAGGGGGGGGGGCAGACTCCAGATCCAGCTTATTACACTTGTACCCCTATTAGAACGCAATTGAAATCTCACTGGGGTGAAGCGGAACACACACTCAGTTGATTGAAATTCGTTTTTTTTGGGGGGGACTTGATAAACTCTAATGAGGATCGAGCAGGTCCCAGACACAGCTGAACCATGATGAATTTCTCTGGGAACCCGCTGGGCATCGACTTGGAATGGTGCAGATCCCAGATCCAGCTGATTACAAATAGCTTATAATTGAACTGTGGAGGTAAAAACGATTCAGAATTGAGCAGATCCCACGTCCAGCTGATTCCAAATATATTCCTATTGGGACCTAATTATAATCTAATTGGGATGGAGCAGATCCCAGTTCCGGGTGGTTCAAATTAACATTCTATCGGAATATGATTCACATTTAATTGACCTGAGGCAGATATCCAGCTGATTCGAATTCGATTTCTATTGAGATCCAATTAGGATTTGCACTGAATTGGGCACCTTCGAGGTCCAGCGGGGTCCTAGTGGGATTCCGATTGGAACCGAATGTGAATCCAATTTGAATTGGGCAGGCCACAGGTCCAGCTGATTCCTAATAGATTCTCATTGTAGTGGAATGAGAATCCAATTGGAATTGCGCAGATCCCGGGTCCAGCTGATTACAATTTGATTCTTATCGCAATCGAATTAGAATCCACGTGTAATGGAGCACATCTCAGGTACAGTTGTTCCCAATTGGCTTCCTATAGGGGTCGAATTTCAATCGAATTCGAATTGGACAGATCACCGACCCAGATGATTCACATTGGATTACGTTTGGAAAATATGTAACATCTAATTGCTTACGCTTCGCGAATCCCAGCCGGCCCATTCAGAAGCCCTGCCCACGATAGCTGACGAGACATGGAAAGCAGAGACGCACATAGTGAACCAGAGCGGTCAAAGAGGAGGGGGAGGAACGTGTTGAGCCATCATGGAGGCTATCTTGAAGCATCGGGGGTCTTCTTCGAGCTATGGGGCTGCATACGGTGAGATTGGGGTTCTCTTGGAGCTCTTTGGGGGCATCTTGGGGCCCTCTTGGGGCTCTTTGGGGGGTCTTGGGGTCCTCTTGGGGCGCCGTGGGGCCCTCATGGTGCCCTCTTGGAGCACTCTTGGGGCTCTCTGGAGGGCCTCCTGAGAGCCCTGGAGGGCCTCTTGGGGCTGTCGTGGAGGGTGTCGATGAACAGAGAGGGGTCCTAACCCTCACCCCCCCCCCCTGGGTCCATCAGAAATGCCAAATTGGGACGCTCGTGGGTCTCTCTTGGAGCGCTCTTGGGCGGTCTTGGGGCCGTCTTGGGGGGCATCTTGGGCCCATCTTGGAGCTCGCTTGGGCCATCTTGGGGCTACCTTGACGCCTCAAAAGCGCATCCGAAGCGAGAAGGCGAGAAGGCCATCGGTTGTTGAAGCATTTTGGCTTCTCGGGGAAGTCCTGAGGCGTCTCCAAAAGCACTTGTATCAGTCTTGTGGCCTTTTTGGGGCCTCTTGGGGGCATGTGGTTCGCTATATTGAACCATGTTGGGCCATATTGAGCCATCTTGGAGGACATCTTGGGCTCTCTGAGGCCCTCTTGGAGCCATCTTGGGCGAAAAACGACCCTCTAAACCCCTCGTGCCCCCCCCCGTCCAGGTCCATGGGGAGGGTTCAAGCTAACCACCCGCCCACAAACCGGCTAGCCCACTCCCACCCGCCCTCCCAACAAATACGTAACACCCGAGCCTGAGCATTTTCAGCGATCGTCTTTGGATGGACAACTACTGGGCACCAAAGTCGACCCCACGTGCGCGACGCTAAGGCGAGGTGCGCCACGCGCGCCAGGCACCCTTGGGGCGGGAGGGGTAAACCCCTCCCGAAGGGGAAGAAGGTTTTTGGGGGGAAGAAGGAAGACAGATCTCGTTAGACCGCCTCTCTTCCAGAGGGCTGGCGGGACTAGATCTGAGCAGATCCCAGATCCAGCAGAGCAGATTCCAATTTGATTCCCATTGGAATGTACGTACAATCCCATCGGAATTGAGCAGATCCCAAGTCCAGCTGTGTTTAATTGGATCCCTATTTAATTCGAACGAGGTTCTATTTAGACTTGAGCAGATCCCAAATACTGTTGATGCCAATTCGATTTCACTACGAGAAAACAGCGGAGACGTGACGAATTGGGAAAATGAATGAGCAAGCGCGGATGAAAAGAAGGCGGATGACCAGTAAAAGTACGAATGACGAGCTCAAAACCGATTCTTTAGGCTTGCGCCACATCCGCCGACCCCAATATAAACTATTGCGCTTCCAGGACTGCGTTTCACGAGGCTTGTCCGAATCATGACACGGCGCTCGACTTCGTTCTTGTTGCTTCGTTGCTGTCATCGTACCTCTTGGTGCTCTTTTGTGGCCTTTTGGTGGCATCTTGGCATGTCTGCAGGCCATATCTGGCCGCCTCAAGACATCTTGGGCCAAGTTTTGAGGCCTCTTGGGGGCTTCCTGGGGACTTCTGGGAGGCCTTTGAGGTTCTCTTGGGGGTCCCTGCAGGGCCTCTTGGGGTGTTCTTGGGACAGGCTGGGCGTCTTGGGGCCGAAGGCTCGACAAGGTGCCCTCTGGACTCCCTCTTGGAGCCGTCTGGGGGCCTTCCTGGGCTGTCTTGGGGGCTTCGTGGGCTGTTTTTGGACCCTCTTCGACCCTCCTTGGGGGCCCCTTCGGCCGTCCGGGGGCGATATTGCAGGTGTCTTTGCCCGTCTTGGACGTTGTGAAAGCCGAAAGCGCGAGTATGCGAAACATGCTGTTTTTCCTAAGGGAATGGGGCAATTTGTGTTTATTGGGACCCTCTTTGGACGCATCTTGGGGGCATTTTGGGGCGTCTTGGCAGCTTCGGGGGCTGTCTGGAGGCCATCGTGGGCGTCAAGGAGCGATATTTCGGCGACTCGTGGCCCCCTGGGACCGTCTGGTGAGCGTTTTGGTGCCTTCTTGGCTCGTTTTAGAGCCCTCCGCTCCCCCATGACGCGTTCGGTCCGGGGTCGGGCCGGGCCGTGTGTGTGTGTGTGTGTGTGTGTGTGTGTCAAATTGCCGGTTTGGGTCCCTGGGGGGGGATTACGGGGGGGGAACCTCTCACATGTCTAAAGACCCACAAGGGGTCGGCGGATTGAAACCGAATGGGTGCAGGGGGGCTGTGCACACGCCCACACACACATACATATATATATATATATATATATATATACATACATACACATACTTACACATATATATATATATATATATATGAATACATACAAGGCTGCATTTGCGCTTCGCGCCATTCACTTCGGTCATTCAGGCTTGGCATGCAGGGAGGAAGGCACAGAGATACAGCGATCGTCGTTGTAAGAATATTATTCGTTATCTTTCCCTCCTGTTTCCTCTTCCTCTTCCTCAATCTCGCCCGACGCTGAGCATTCGCCACCATCCTCAGCTTTTTTGTCGAGGCTTATCCTGGGGGAGTCTCTTGCAAGTCTCACGAAGATTTTTAAGGGCTTGTTGGAGCCCTCTGGAAGCCACCTGGGTTCCTTCTAAGGGCCATTGGGGGCTTCCCCAGGGCACCCTGCTTCCAACCGCGGTCTCCCTGAACGACTGGGCCGTCTTGGGGGTCCCCTTGGACTGCCTGGAAGCCCTCTTGGTTAAATTTGGAGCGATGCTTTGGCCTCCTGGGCAGTCTCGGACGCCCAGAAGGCCGAGAAGAATGTCTTCTGCGTCTCGAATGCCTCTTGGAGGTCTTCTATGGGTCGCCTTCCGGCGTTTGGTTGTTGTCCGGGGCCTCCGTGGGCTCTCGCGGGGCCGTCCGGCCGTCCTCCTGACCGATTTGGGCCCGTTGCCTAGGCCCAGCAGGGGCTCCAGGAGCCCCGGAAAGCACAGGGGACCGTCTGCAAGGGCGTCCAGGGTGCCCCTGGGGCCAAGGATCCGGAGGGGTCCCGTTTGCGTGGGGTGGGGTCTCGCAGGGTCCTAGATTGCCAAAGTATAGAAAGGGATGTGTGTATGAATGTATATATATATATATACATCTATATATATGTATGTGTATATATACATATATATATATACACATTATATTTATGTATGTATATGTATATATGTATATATATATATATATATATATATATATATATTCCCTTTTCTATATTTTTATAATTCCTGGGGTGCGCCCCCCCCCCCCGAAACGGGACCCCCCGGATCCGTGCCACGGGGGCGGTCGAAAATCCTTTCCAAGGCGTGCACGCAGGCGGGCGGCAGTGCCAAATCGGTCGGAGCAAGCCCACAGAGACACCCAAGACAGTCCAGGATAGCACCCGGGTAGCCTTGAAGACCCTCCGCGAGAGCCCCAAGACCGTTCTCAAAGGGGGCCCGAGAGAACAAAATCATTGAATTTCCATTGGTTTTTCAATGTTTTTAGCGTCCTCGCTTTTTCGGGTTTCCGACGCTCCCGGACCGCCCAAGAAGCTCCCAAAACCGCTCCAAGACGGCCCAAGAAGCTCCCAGAGCGCGCTGAGAGCGCCCTAAGACGGTCCAAAACGCGCCCGAGATGGCCCACGAACGCTCCAAGACGGCCCAAAAAGGGGCCCCAGGGGGGACCACGAACTGAAAATACGAGCCTCCCGCCCCGAGAATGCCCAAGGAGGCCCCAAGAGAGCTCCACAGGGCCTCGGGAAGCCCCCTAAGTTGCTCCGGTGAGGCTCCAAAAACATCCCAAATTGTTACTTTCCCTTTGGTTTTTCAATGTTTTCAGCGTCCTCGCTTTTTCGGGTTTCTCACGTTCCAAGACCGCCCAAGAAGCTCCCAAAACCGCCCCACAACGGCCCAAGAGGCTCCCAGAGCGCTCTGAGAAAACCCCAAGGCGGCCCAAGACGCGTCCGAGATGGCCCACGAACGTTCCAAGACGGCCCAACGAGGAGCCCTAGGGGGGACCACGATCTGAAAATACGAACCTCCCGCCCCGAAAGAGCCCAAGGAAGCCCCAAGAGAGCTCCAAAGGGCCTCGGCAGGCCCCCTAAGACGTTTCGGTGAGGCTCCAAAAACATTCAAAAATGTTACTTTCCCATTCGTTTTTCAATGTTTTCAGCGTCCTCGCTTTTTCGGGTTCCCCACGTTCCAAGACCGCCCAAGAAGCCCCCAAAACCGCTCCACAACGGCCCAAGGGGCTCCCAGAGCGTCCTGGGAAACCCCAAGGCGGTCCAAGACGCGCCCCAAGACGGTCCAAGACGGCCCACGAACGCTCCGAGACGGCCCAAAGAATGGCTCCAGGGAGGACCAGATAACTGAAAATACGAGCCACCCGCCCCGAAAGGGCCCAAGGAGGCCCCAAGAGAGCTCCAAAGAGCTTCGGGACGCTCCCTGGGAAGCTCCGGCGAAGCTCCAAAAAGCTTCCAAATCGTTCATGCTCCATTGGCTTAAGCGGAGGAGGAGAAGGAGGAGGACGCGGGGTTGGGCGGTTTCTGCAACGGCGCTTCCCAGCGCGACGCGGACAAAAATCTGTGCCGCCCCCCCGCGGCGCGAACGTTTTCTCTTCTTGCTCCGCCTCGTCCTCCTCCCCTTCCTCCTCCTCCTCCTCCCCCTCCCCCTCCTCCTCCTCCTCCTCCTCCTCCTCCCTCCTCTCCTCCTCCTCCTCCTCCTCCTCCTATCCTCTTCTTCTTCCTCCTCCTCCTCCTCCGCCTCCTCCTCCTCCTCCTCCTCCCTGTTTCTTCTCCTCCTCCTCCTCCGCCTCCTCCTCCGCTCCTCCGTAAATGGAGCAAGCGAGCGCTGCTCAAGCGGATGCAGGAGGGCGCAACGGCCCCACAACAATAACCGTCAGACCGCTCCACAAAGCTCCGGGAGAACCCCCGCGAACCCACTCGAAGGGCTTCAGCGCCCCAAGTCGGCCCAGCGGCCCTCAAAAGGGGGCCCCGACGGCTCATAAGAGCCAAGCCGACCAACACCCTGCCCGTCAAACCCGCCGCCCTCGAAATCGCACCACTCCGCCGCCCCGCGCCCCCTTCATCTGAAATTCCTTGAAGAATAGCCGCATTATGCTCATAATCCCGGTTTCGCAACCAATTTTCCAGAAATTCGGTTGCGAACCCGGGGTCCCAGCTGTTTCCCGCGCGGCCACCACTCATATGCGCCATTCCATACGCCCGCGGCCTCCAACTCGCAGTTTTGGCCCGTCCTAGGTTGATTGCCCCCCTTTCTGCTCTTCCCGCGCTTCTCCGAAGTACGAACCAGCGGACCGCGGCTAAAATTGAAGAAAGGATGGCACCACGGGCCAACCATTCCGAAGCTTCAAGGAACAAGGTGCATGGCGAGAAGCGCCAATGCAGCCTTGTATATATATATATATATATACACATATATATGTATATATACATATATACATATACACATACATCTGTGTGTGTGTTCTGGCTGTCGGCTTAGCGCCGCGCGCATTCTTCTTCAAAGCTTCTAACATGTACCCGGGTAGAGGACGAATCGTGTTCAAAGCGTCGCTCTCGTGCATGTTTCACCACCTCCACCTATGAAGGGCGGATCCTTGTCAAACCGGGGCCCTCGATTGAGACATCCTCGATTCTCATGACCAGGCCTGCTGGCTTTTCCACCAGCTACCGCATTGAGGTCGGCCCTTTTTTTCAAAAGGGGCTCTTGTTTGAAAGTTCATCTCTAATGGCTAAGTGTCATATTGCGCGGCAGCCCCACGGTGGTGGGCGTGTCTTTTTCGACGCGCACCCTGCAGACATCCCCTTAGATTTTCTAGCCCTGCCCCGTGGCACTTCTCATGGCTCGACAGCGGCAATGGAGAGATGGAGAGGACGTTGTCGGCCGCGCGCAGAGGGGGGCGGGGGGGGGGGAAGGCTTCTCAGTAGCACCCCTGCTTCTTAGAAGGCGCGGGCCTTGTGTGTGGATGTAAAGCCAGCGCCTTCCAAGGAGTAGCCTCCTTCTAAGAAGCCTTTCCCCCTCCCCCTACCCCATTCTGCGCGCCGCCAGCATTGGGAGGAATGACGGTCACGCTAAGCCTTGCCTTGGCATCATCGATCGGGCGTTTTCCTCCCTCTGTCCACTGCCGCTACTCGTGCACGCTTCGTCGATGTGTCCGTCGATGCAGCTCCCGTGGAGGACGCCTACCTGCTGGCCCCCGAGTTCGACCGGGAGGCGCACATGCCCCGCTTCCGCGACCTCGTGCACCTCGAGGAGGACCCGCGCGTGCAGGAGCAGGCGGGGAGGGGAGCTGCCGTTTTTTTCATGTATTGTTTTGCCGATCGGCGCGGGCCCTCGCACCCCCCCCCCTCCCCCCGTCCAACCTGTGAGGTCCTGAGCCCGGATGGCAGGGCGCCCGAAGCGCGCGGAGAGGCCCGGCGAAGAACTCTGGAAGGACCTGGAGAGAGCTTCCGAAAGACCTTCTGGAGAGCTTCCGGGCACGCGCACTGGGAAACGCTCAGAAATTCGACCGTCCAAGATGGCCCAAGAGGCCTCCAAGATAGCCTTGGGTCGGGCATGCCCCCCCTAGAGGCGCATTTTAGAGTAAAAGTTCAAAATAGTTAAACAGAGAAATTAAGATTGTCAAAATAATAGAGCAACCGTTCCCCTATGATCTTTCGACTATTTTTGAAGCTTCCTCCTGCAGAGGGACGCGCCCGACTCAAGATGGCCCCAGGCCAGCCCAGGAGGCCCCCGGGGAGGGCCCCCCCATGCAGGGCCCCCCGCAGAGCAGGTGCAGCGGGCGCGGCGGCTGGACTTCGTGATGGAGGCGGGCGACGTCGTCTTCCTCCCGCAGGGCACGCCCCACCAGGCCGGCGGCTGCCAGACCCGGACGTGTCGGGGCCCTCGAGGAAGGAAAGACCACACAGACCCTGACCTTCCAGGAGGGCTAAAAAATGACACCCGACTTAAAAACTTATCCCAGAGCTATTCTACGTCTTGACTTTAGGATTTTTCGTTTAATTTTTTAAGTAATTAGGCCCAGCTCAGCTTTTTAGGTTGTTTCGCTGTTTCGCTCAGCTTTTTAGGTTTTTAGGTCCCCAGTGCTCAAAGATAGCTCTCTGGAAGGTCTGGGGACACAAACTTTTTTGGGCGCTCCGCGCGGATTTCTTGTATCCGCGCCTGCCCCCCCCCCCCCCCGGCGGCGCCTCCGGCGCCGCCCCTGGCGCGTTCCGCGCGCCAGGGAGAGGGGGGTCCAGCGCGAATCCAAAAAATCCGCGCGGAGCGCCAAAAGTGTATGCTTGTGCTTTGGTTCTGCATCCAGGCTCGGGAGACGGGGCTCAATGCAGACGGGGATCAGCCAGGGCGCCAGATCTTGCAGGATCATGCAGGGCCGGGGGCACATTGACCCGGGCTCGGGTGCAGGATCCTCAGAATCCTGCAGGCTCCTTGGCCTGGACCTGGGCTTGGGTGCAGGATCCTGCAGGATTCTGCAAGGCCTGACTGCCCCGGGTCTGGATTGACCCGGGTCAGAAGACCCCCCGGACATGCTCCGGCAGAGGGAAACAATTATTGAACCCTCCCCCTCCCATCGTCAACAGTGAGCAGCAGGTCAGTTTTGGGTGCACCGGTCTCTCCTCGATCTGTTTTTCCTCCTCCCTCTCCTCCTGCTGACATGTTCACACGGTCGCGTTGCTGCTGCGGCCAGCCACATGGCTGGATCACCCCAGGCATGCGACGTTTGGTCTGCGGGCTGTATGCGGTGGAAGAAGAAAACACAGAAGTCAAACACACAACCTCGGGGAGAAGGCCGGGACTTCTTGGGGGCCGCGTAGCGCAACTAATCGGGACGTCGCACGTCTGGGGAGGTGGTCCTGGTTCCAGGGGCCCCAAGCTTCTCGCTCCACTCGGAAGATCTCCAGGGACCTTCTTAGGGGAACAAATAGTGACATAAACATAAAAACTCGGAGGTCCGCGCGGATTTCTCGGATCGGCGCTCGGGCCCCCCGGCGGCGCCTCCGGCGCCGCCCCTGGCGCGCTCCGCGCGCCAGGGAGGGGGGTCCAGCGCGGATCCGAGAAATCCGCGCGGACCTCCGAGTTTTTTATGTTTATGCCACTTTTTGTTCCCCTACCTCTGGGCCTCGTGATGGGGCGCTCTGGAGGCCGTCGGGGCCTCCGCGCAACCGCTGGGGCCCACCTTGTGCCAGGGCGCCTCCCCAGCCATCCGATGCCATTCTTGTTCGTCAATGCTTATGTCGGGCGTGTCCCCGTACAGGGGGATTTTCGACGAAAAATAAAACATACCCCCAAAATACTCCAAAAAGGTAAAAAATACTCAATGAACAGTCCCCCGACTATTTTTTGATCATTTTTGGATTATTTTTGGGGTATTTTTTATTTTTCGTCGAAGCTCCCCCCGTAGGGGGACAGGCCCGACTTAATAGAAGTCGATGCTCGACTAGACGTAAGAGGGACCTTTCGCCAGAGTGACCTCTGGTGCGGGCCCAGTGGGGTCCCCCGATCGCTGAACGCGAAGCATCGGCAGCGGCATGCGCGTCTGGGTTTGACCACCCCGCGTCCCCCGTGAAGCCGCGCTGTTGCCTAGGGTCACTCTTGCGTGTAGCCGAAGTACGAGGTCCCCCGACAGCCCATCCCTGTCCCCAGGACCAGCTTCTCGTGCATATCTGCCAGAAGCGGCCATCAGAGGCTTGTTTCCCCTGCAGTCTGGGTCAGGGGCTGTGGCCTGCAGGCCGGAGGGGGCTTACGGCCTTAAGCACGTCGGAGATTGATCCGGAGCAGCTCTTCGTTCCGAGATGTTCTTCAGAGGTCCCGGAGCCCGAAATATAGGCCCGTAGTGGCCGGAAAGGGCGGGCAAAACCGCCACCGTCCTGAGTTTTTCAGGGCGCTTGAAGCCTGGGTCTGGCATTAAGTCCGGCGTGTCCCTCTACAGGAGGAATATTCAAAAATAGCCAAAACATAGTATGGAGAGGATTTTGTGAGCATTTCTCTGATATTCTTTGAACATGTTTTGATTGTTATTGATTTTTCAGCCAAAATCCGCCTGTAGGAGGACATGCCCGACCTAAGTCGGGCAGCACCCGATCAGGTCTACAACCTCACCCAGACAGTTGCCGTCACCGCCAACTTCTGCTCGGCGGCGCGCCGGGGGGGATGTCTGAGCGTGGGCCGGCCTTCTCCTCAGAAGGCTGGGGTGTCTTCTCAGAAGACTCCTGGCCTTCTGAGGGGCCCTCTGCGGCGTCGGGCCTCAGAAAGCTTCTCAGAAGGCTGGAGGTAAGTCGGGCGTGTCCCTCTACAGGAGGAATATTAATAGCCTGGGACGATTCTTCTATCACTTGTAATCATTTTCGATGTTTGTAAACACTACTTTAAACATTTTGATATATATATATATATATGTATTGAATGTTTCCAGATTCTTTTTTACGTGTCATCCAGAATCCGCTTTGTAGTAGGAGGACATGCCCGACCGAAGGCTTCGGAGAAGGCTCAGGAAGCTTCTCCGAAGGCCAGGGGACTGCGGAGTCTTCCGGGAAAGGCCCGCCCCCATTGCGGACGCCCGAAAGTCGTTTTGGGTCCTGATGCGGCCCTCCGGCGGCCGCTCGGAACCAGCCAGGCATGCATGCCCGGCATGCTCTCGGCCAGGCGCAGCTGCGGGACGCCTTCCCGAGGCTGGAAGGCATCCTGGAGCCGAGGAGGAGGAGGAGGAGGAGGAGGAGGAGGAGGAGGAGGAGGAGGAGGAGGCGAAGGAGGAGGAGGAGGAGGAGAAGGAAGAGGAGGAGGAGGAGGAGGCGAAGGAGGAGGAGGCGGAGGAGGAGGAGCAGGAGGCGGAGGAGGCGGAGGAGGAGGCGGCGGCGGCGGCGGCGATGACGTGCGGAAAGGGTGTGTTTCTTTATTGTTTGGGGCATACTGGGCATTATAGCACCCGCCCCCCCCTCCCATTTGACGTAACGACGTAACGCCCCTCTCCCCCAGTGCGCTCCGGGCACTGCCGCCGTGCGCACGACGGCGGGGGGGCGTTACATTGTATCCCCCCTGGCCCCTCCCCCCCCACCCATAAGGCCAATTATCGCCGAAAATGAAGAATCGCGCTCAAACGACCGAAAACGCAGAGCCCAGGGCGATGTTTGTCACCAGGGCCCGTCGGGAGTGTTTTTGTTCGCGGTCTTGGGGCCCAATAAGGGGCCATAGGGGCGACAACAATGAGCCATTCGCTTTTTTGCAGCACGTTGGAGGCCTGGGCTTATGATGCTCCGAAAAACCATGCTCTGGCCAGACTGCCTTCTCCCGAAAAAAGAACAATTGCAGAAACATCAGCTGTCGGCGGTCCGCTCGGATGTTTTTGGATCTGCGCTGGCGCCCTCTGGCGACGCCTCCTGCGCCGCCCCCGGCGCGCTCCGCGTGCCAGGGAGGGAGGGTCCAGCACAAACTGAAGACATTCGCGCGGACCGTCGAACATTGATGCTGATGGCTGTTTTCTCTGGACTGTGCTTTGTGTTGTTGATGGTGGACGTTGATGATGTTGATGGCCCTTGTTTTGATATTGATGTCGATGTTCTCTTCCTCCACAGTCAAGACGCTGAAGGAAGGACCGGTCGGGGCTCAGCCGGGGCTCGGGGGTGTTTAACGCGCCGCTCCTCAGGCTCAGGTCGTGCAGCCCCGTTTTGTGGCCCAGGCCCGCCGTGGCCAGAGAAGCCCATTCGTGCACAAGCATGCGTCCCCATATGGAAGCACGGTGACTGCACAGTGCCGTTTTGAATACATGTTCCGCGTGCGGATCATGTATCAAAAATAGAGGGTATATTAATAAATACAAGGATGAGTTCATGCATACATTCATTCATAAATGGATCATGTATAAAAAATCATACGAAAAAGCCATGTATAACAACAAAAAAACTGCCCTGTAGGGTGGCCGACCCGCGCCTCGCGATTTGAGGCTGCGCTGTAGGTGTGGGCGCGGGCGGTCGGACCCCGAGGGGGGGCCCTCGTCCGAGCAGGGACGCCCCTCCGACAGCACGCAGCCATAGCCCTCCCGGAAGTCCTCTTCGGCAAATCTGGGGGTCGTGTAGGGGCGGGTGCCTGTTGTCAGCTCGTCGAGTTTGGGAGTTTCGGGTGCGAGGTTCGAGGCTTCGTGGCGCTCGCGTGGGTTCTCGGCGGCTTTCCAGTCTCGGGATGCGCTGCAGCGGCTGCGCCTCGCCGGGAGGCGTCCCCAGGGGCGCCCGCATCGTCCCGAGCGCCTGCCGGACCCGAGCTAGGGGCCGAAAGCCAGACGGCGATGATCGCTGATGGCCAGAAAGTCCCCTTCGTCCGTTCTTCTGCGCGCCTTCTGACCACATGCCGCCGCGCCGCTGATTCCGACGCGCGGCCCAACGCCCTGGGCAGAGCGCCTCGGCCACCACAGCCGCCGCCTCGGACGCGGTGGGCTCGCCGTGGGTCTGCTGCGGTGCCGGCGTCGTCTGCTCGGGCGCGGGACGCAGGGCTTGCCCTGGGCTTGTCGGGTGTCGGAATCGTCCTCTTCCCTGATCCGACGTCTAAAATTGAGACATTCAAGCAGCGGCGAAGCGTCCAGGCTCGCCTATAGCCCCACCAACCAATGTTCTAAGAACCTTTTGTGGTTTCCACGAAATGTTCTTAGAACATTTCTGGCGGAGTCTGTCTTGTTTCATCACATCGGGTTTATGTTCTAAGAACATTGTTTTTGTTCTTAGAACATATGGGGGTTCTAAAAACATTTCGTGGTATGACTATAGGAATGCCGGGACGGTCGGTCCCTGCTCAAGACATTGCGTCATTTTTCGAGCCGGATCGATCCGTGAGGGCCCCCGGGCCCGAAACTGAGCGAAACTGGCCGGCTCGAAAAAATTGAGTCGCCAGGATCTCGGAATCTTTTTGGGCGCGTCGAGAACAAACGACGCTGCGGCACCAGACAGCCGCCGCTGGACCCACGACAGCCGCGCAGCGTCGGCGGCGGCGTCGTCGTCGTCGTCGTCGGCGGCGCCGTCGTCGTCGTCGGCGTCGTCGGCGTCGTCGTCGGTGCCGTCGGCGCCGTCGCTGGCGCCGGCGTCGTCGTCGGCGTCGTCGTCGTCGTCGTCGGCGCCGTCGCTGGAGCCGTCGGCGTCGTCGGTGCCGTCGTCGGCGCCGTCGTCGGCGCCGTCGGCGTTTCTATTCTCGCCCTTGGGCGCGCCGCCGATCGTCGACCAGTCGAACGTCCTCGGCGCCCGGGCGCGCGTGGCCGCGAAGCTCCGCAGGCGCGGGGGCGGCGGGCCCGGCGCGGCGGGCGCCGCGGAGCTGGAGGCGATGCTGGCGGCCCTGTCGGAGGGCCCCTGGCCCGGGCTGGAGGAGGACCTCGGCGCCGGCGACGAGGTCCTCCTCCTCCTCCTCCTCCTCCCGCCGCCTTCTCCTCCTCCTCCTCCTCCTCCTCCTCCTCCTCCTCCTCCTCCTCCTCCTCCTCCTCCTCCTCCGCCTCCTCTCCCTCCTCTTCCTCGTCTTTTTTCCTCCTCCTTTTCTTTTTCCTCCTCCCTCTTTTCCTCCTCCTCCGAATTTTTGTTCCTCCCCTTCCTTTTTCAGGCGATGTGCACTGCTCAACCTGGGACTCCTCCTCCTTTTTGCGTCGCTCCACCTACTTCAGGCGACGCGCACTGCTCCTACTCCTTTCCTGCGTCGGGCAAGCGCTGGCATGCGTGAGCCGTCGCATCCTGATGGCCGCGATCCGAGGAGAAAACGGATCGGAGCGCAGCGCTTGACCAACCTCCGAGTTGTAAAGACAGCGCGTGCATGATGGGAAGTAGAAGGGCGGAGACCACCGGACAGGGAAGCACGCTAGAGGACAGAGCAGTGCACAACGGCAAGGATTCCTCAGAACCTCCCAAACCCTCCTCCTCCATCGAGGGGTATGGCTTAGCCATTACTACATTCATGGACGACATCACCCGCACGAACACTGTCAGGCAAGGGGAAAAAGCAGCTAGGAAGTTACAAAGCAGATCAACGACACGGCCAAACTACTGGAGGCCACGTTGGAGAAAGGAGGACGGAAACGGAATCCTCGGCGACGACGTCGCCCTCCTCCTCCGTTCTTTTCCCTCGTGAAGAACTCCTGCACGTCGCATGGCCAGACGTATCAGTAGGCCGGGTCGAGCGTTTCGCCAGAGACTACCTTGCCAACTCTTTTCTTGAAGCTTGGAATCTGCCACAGTCTCAAGCATGTGGCCCGTGAGACTTCCATAATGTGACTCTCGCCATATCGCATAGCGCCGCGCACACTCTTTTTCAAAACATAGCAACAACTTCAAGGATGCAGGCTGGTTCGTTTTCAACATGTGGCTCTCGTTTTAGCGCAGCGCACATTCTTCTAAACAACTTACAGGAGCTTCAAGGCTAGAGGCTGGCTCCTTTTCGTAGTGTGGCTCTCGCCTCAGCGCCGCGCGTATCCAAACGACCCATCCTTCACCTTGTCTATGCAAACCGTATGCTTAGGTGCGTTTCCGTCCGCCCCAACCATGACCATCCTTTGCAGAAACATATAGAACCGTTCACATCCATACGACCCAACCCTCACCATCCCTTGTAAACGATGACAAGTTGGCGCACGTCCACTCGACCCAGCCTTCACCATTTGATGAATTGTCCTGGAAAGGGCGCGGGCCCAGGGTTCTCTTATGGTTATGTTCCACGGCCCCCGGTGCCATGTTCGAAGAGAGCCGGCGAGTTTCCGCTCGATCGAAACAAGGTAAAAACTCAATTATTTGTTCAAGGAGTGCGTTTCTCGCGGACAGTGCGCCCCCTATGTCGGATCCTTGATAATTATCCGTGTCCGCAGGCTTGTTTTCTTGAGGGGCCTGGGCTGGGCGCCCCAGGATGCCCAGGTGCTTCTGGGAATGCGAGGGCGTTTGAAAACACATAGGTTCCTAACGCCCCACAGCGGGACAAGCGCGAAAACACGTGGTATCCTGACGCCCCAGAGCGGGGCAAGAGTGAAAACAAATGGGTTCCGAACGCCCCAGAGCAGGACAAGCGTGAACACATGTGCTTCCTAATGCCCTAGAGCGGGAAAAGCGTGACAACACGTGGGTACCCCACGCCCTAGAGCGGGACAGGCGTGAATGAAAGTGGGTTCCTGAGGCCCGTGAGAGGGACAAGCGTGAAGACCTATGTGATCCTGACGCCCCAGAGCGAGACAAGCGTGAACACAGATGTGTTTTTTACACCCCAGCATGGGGCAAGAGTGAAAACGCGTGAGTCCCTGACGCCCCAGAGCGGAACAAGCGTGAGAACACGCGGGTCCGTAACGCCCCAGAG